GAGGCCACAGAAGCAGTGTCGGGGCTGACGGTGGACCAGTATGGGATGCTCTACAAAGTGGCAGTGCCACCCGCCACCTTCTCCCCCACGGGTCTGCACCCTGTGGTGAACGTGAGCCCCCTGCCCCCTGCCTTCAATGTGACCTCGCCAATAATTCAGCACCCAGGGGTGCCCTACCCTCCCATCCACTACGCGCAGATCCCTCCAACATCCCTACAGTTCATCGGCTCGCATTACACGGTGCCCTATGCTGTCCCTCCTGGCTTCCTGCCTAGTCCTCTCCTGTCTCCTTCCACCAACCTCACCACCTCTCATGTCCCCCACTTTGTGCCATATGCCTCTCTCTTCACGGAAGAAGCCGCTCCTTCCCCCCAGACTACCTCTCCTACCCACACCTTCAACAAATCTGCTTCTGCAATCTCTCCTTCTGGCCAGATGCAGCACCATGCTGGGACCCAGCCGTTAGATATCGCACCAGGTAGAATTCCTGTTTATTATCAGATGTCCCGCCTCCCACCGGGGTATTCAGCATATGAGACACCTACAGCAGGTGGAAGCCCAGAGTCTCCTCAGCAAGACAGTCAGCTGAGTTCAGAGGTAGCTGCTGCCAATGGTGGACAGAGACATCTGGAGCATAATGTGGTGAGGAGGACCAGCGATGCCGTGGACTCTGCCAGCAGTAAAGCTGAAGACTGTCTGCCAGGGGCTGCAGCAGGATGTGTGGTCGATGGACAGTTCCTTTCAGGTTACCAGACGTTGGGAACAGAGGTCTCTGTGCGAGCTCACAGAAGCACCCCAGACACTGATCTGGAGGTTCAGAGGGTGGTGGGGGTGTTGGCATCTCAGGATTATCATATTCTGGCAGCCCAGAGGAAAGATGACTCGAGCCCTTTAAACCTTTGCCATAATATCCCTGATCAGCAGGGGGAGTCAAAGGATGTGCTAAGGAACACAGTGGAAAGGGCTGCTGCTGAGAAAAGCCAGTCCAGGAGTCCATATGTAATGTCCCCTGAAGAGCCGGTTAGACAAAGACAGTTAACCAAAGGAATGGTGATAGCCAACGGCAAGCCAGTCCTGGTTCCCGTTGGATCTGAGCCCATCAGGTCTTCCACTTTGGAAACCCTGGTGAGGCGGAGCCCAGATGCACAGGCTCGAGGAAGCATGCTTGAAAAGGACCTGGCCCAGCTGCAGCCACCCAGCTCCTCACACTTGCCCTCTCACTTCATGAAAGGAGCCATCATCCAGCTGGCTACAGGAGAGCTGAAGCGGGTAGAGGACCTGCAGACTCAAGACTTTGTTCGCAGTGCGGAGGTGAGCGGGGGCCTGAAGATCGACTCCAGCACTGTGGTGGATATTCAGGAAAGCCAGTGGCCTGGGCTTGTCACGCTGCATTTTGTGGTTGGGGAGCAACAAAGTAAAGTGAGCATTGACGTGCCCCCAGAGCACCCCTTCTTTGTGTATGGCCAGGGTTGGTCCTCCTGTAGCCCTGGGCGGACTGCTCAGCTCTTTGCTTTGCCCTGTCACAGGCTGCAAGTGGGTGATGTCTGCATATCAATCAGTTTACAGAGCATGAATGGCAACTCTGCTTCTCAGGCTAACTACCCTCTCACAGATCAGCTGATACCTACTAGGGAGAGATCTGAAAGAACAGCTCAGGGGTCCAGAGAACCATCTGACAGAGCTGCTGAAAGGAAGAGCCACACAGATAGGGACAGTGCAGCCCAGAGCTCTCATGCAGAACCCTCTCAGCCTGAGACTGGCAGTCAGCACAGCTGGACAGCCCCAGGCTTCCAAAGATACAGCGTGCAGGCAGAGGAGCCTCGGCCCTCTCTGCTCCGTCCCTCTTTCATTCCCCAGGAGGTCAAGCTGTCTATCGAAGGGCGTTCTAATGCAGGGAAATGATCCCTTTGAGGCTGTGAGCTAGGGCATCCCCTGTAGGTGAGCCTCACCATCAGGTGGAGAAATTGCACAGACTTTGTGACAGGTTCACCAGCAAGGCTGCTTTCTGCCCTGCAGGACTGGATTTATTCCAGTTCAGTGGCTGACCAGTTCCTCTTGGGGAATCAAGGGGGCTCCAGTGCCTCAGGGAGCAGCAACAGGCTAGCTGGGGTAGAGAACAGGGATGTGCTCATGAGCTTGCGATGAGACCATTCCAGAGGTTGGAGGCTGGGGCTTTCTCACACCTCCCTGAATAACTGATTCCCTGCAGGGCAGGGTCTAAGCATTCAGGATAGGTGGGGAGATGAGGAGGGCAGACACGGCTTAAGGTAGCAGATAAAATTGCTGAAGATTTTATTCCTCCTTTCTCATGATGGGGAGAGATGGGTCCCCACTGGAGTTTAGGGGGCTCTACTCCCAGTATCCCTTTTCTTCACACATGCACTTTAAAAGGACCGTTCACCAATGGAGCTCTTGAGGGCAGGATGGAGATGCTTCTCTGGTGGTTCTGTTTAATGTCTCTTCCACTGAATCCAACTGCTCTTTCTTCTTGCAAAGAATGTACAGATTTGAATGAATCACAGAAATTCAAGAGGAAGGACCAAAAGGATGGGTTTGGGTGTAGGTGAATAGGGAACTTGAGCACTTGGGATGGGACACGAGTTGGGATGGGAGACGTCGGTTTCCTGCTATAAAAGACATTTAATATTTGCCACCAAATCAAATCTTTTTTCCCATGTTAATAACTTAAAAAAAATCTCTTGGGCTTATAGCTTTTGCAGAGGCTTAGCCTATGGATGAATGGGGTTGGGGTTTTTTGATTGGTTGAATTTTGGTTTTTGGTGTTTGTTTTTTTTTAAAGCTGGAGTAAAATATATTCAGCATTGTCTAGCGAAGGATGGAAACACATCCTTTTTCTGTGAGAAGACCGAGACTATTTTGTAATTAAATCAGAAGAAAACTTTCCAGATGGCTAATTCTTCCCTGCAGGCAGTTTCCTAAATAAGCTCTAGACAAGAGACGGGTGTTCATGCATGTGCAGGCAAGGTACAAAGTTTCTGCTAAGTACAGTTCTATGATTAATGTAGGGACTCTAAAAATATCACAGCATCATAGGGCATTTTGGGGTGGTTTTGTGTTAGTTTTTCTGCTGCTTCACTTTGGAGTTCCTCTGTAGAACAACATGGTAAAATCAAGAGTAGTCTTTTTCACGGTGAGATTTAATACAAATGTATATTAATACCTCATTATGGTAATAACACTCCATTCAAGTGAAGGCTCCTGTAGTTACACTAATTTGCCCTCTCTGTTGGTGTGTTATGACACCAGCTCTAACTGCTTAGCTAGAATAAAAAATAGTCACTATTATGTTGAGGATAAGAGTCTTCACTGATTTAACTTGGGTTAAATATTCCTTGTATTAAGGTGCCCATCTCTGTGCTAGGACCAGGCTTTTGAGAGGGTTTCTTTTCAGTGCGCAGGTCCCGCTAGAGTCCTGATGCTGCTCCTGATGGTTCAGCGTACCATTTTCTGTCTCCCTTCTCTCATCTTCTTGAAGTTTTCCATCA